AACCTAGAGATGAATAGCTATAATTAACTTGATGACCGAAGTATAATTGTATAATTGAGTTAATCGCTTTTTATGCAAAATGTTGTCAGCTACCTCCACTTATAAAGCCTTGCATAATCCTTGGAGTCAATTTATTTCTAGTTTATGACAAGTAAGTCTAGTTGAGTATCTTCTCGTACTCAGAGTTTTATTCCCATTGTTGCAGATGGTACCGTCTATCACAGATATTGCAAGAATTGCTTCTATCCCGCCGTGGATGAGGAGTAAGCCTTGGGCAGGCATCTTTAATAATCCTTCTATATGCTTTTGTGAATGGTGATCATGTGATGGCACTGTATTTGGAACTATGTGACAAATGATAGTTTCAAACTTAATTTGTTTCCACTACTGCTGCTGCTGCTACTACTACTACTCTATCGAACTTGGTTTGTAATAACTCTATTTCACACTATGATGATGGAAACGTATCTGTGAACTTTATGCAATATGTGACATGTATGTTGAATCATATACGATCTTGGTTGTATGTGGATCGTTTATCGAGACCCGTCGTGGTACTCGATAGACTACCGGGTTTATATGGGCTCAAATATGACAGTGCGACCGCTTGCGGGCTGCCATTGTACTTGTGCTCTTATAAATTGGTCGGTTCTGCGACAGCGCTGGCCGAGCACGATGGAGACTGGCGACGGGCGATGCTGGAGGAGATGAAGGCGATCGAGGAAAACAAAACATGTGAGCTCGTCGATCCACCTCTAGGATGCCGTCCGATCGGCCTGAAGTGGGTGTACAAGGTCAAGCGGGACGAGCTCGGCACCATTGTCAAACATAAGGCGCGCCTCGTCGCCCGAGGTTTTGTCCAGCACAAGGGCATTGACTTTGAGGAAGTCTTTGCGCCAGTAGCGCGCATGGAGTCTGTCCGTTTGCTACTAGCCTTAGCAGCAAACGACTGGCGCGTCCATCACCTGAACGTTAAATCGCCTTTTCTCAACGGTGAGCTGGCGGAGATGGTCTTCGTCAGGCAACCTCCGGGTTTCGCCGTCAAGGGAGCAGAGCACAGGGTGCTCTGACTGCACAAGGCGCTCTACGGGCTGCGGCAGGCCCCACGAGCGTGGAACGCCAAGCTTGACGCCACGCTGGACGAGCTTGGGTTCGGGCGGTGCGCAATCGGGCATGCGCTCTACACACGATGACGGGAGAAGGAGGAGCTCGTCATCGGCGACTATGTGGATGACTTGATCGTCACCGGTGCGCATGCGGAGGACATCAGCAGCTTCAAGCGCGTGATGGCGGCTTGTTTTTGAATGAGCGATCTCGGCGCACTCTCCTCTACCTCGGCATCGAGGTGAGACAGGGGATAGAGGAACTCACGCTCGGTCAGAGCACGTATGCCTCCAAGCTGTTGGAGCAGAGCGGCATGGCTGAGTGCAAGCCATGCGTGACTCCGATGGAGGAGCGGCTGAAGCTGACGAAGGCCAGTACCGCGGCGAAGGTGGATGCAACACTCTACTGGAGCATCATCGATGGTCTACGCTATCTAGTCCATACGAGGTCGAACATTGCATTCGCCGTGGGCTACGTCAGTCACTTCATAGAGGATCCCAGAGAGGATCACTGGGTTGCGGTGAAGCGGCTACAGCGCTACGTCAAGGGGACGGTGGATCAGGGAATCATCTTCCCCAAGGCCGGTGGGAGTAGGCTGCAGCTCACTGTGTTCAGCGATGCAGACATGGCGGGGGACATCAACGGACGATAGAGCACCTCTGGTGTGTTCGTCTTCCTCGGGTCAACCCTAATTTCATGGCTGTCGCTGAAACAAAAGGTGGTGACGCTATTTACGTGCGAGGCAGAGTACGTAGCAGCAGCCACAACGGCGTGCCAAGTTGTGTGGCTGCGCCGGCTGCTGGGCGAGCTGACCAGTGCGGAAGCTCAACCACCAGCACTGATGGTGGACAACCAACCCGTCATTGCCCTCGTGAAGAATCCGGTTCTCCATAACCGGAGCAAACACATCGACGTGAAGTTCCACTTCCTCAGGGACTGTGTCGATAGAGGGAGAATCATTGAGTTCGTCGAAACTGGTCGGCAACTTGCGGACGTCTTCACGAAGCCGCTCGGCCGTCTTCGACTCACGGAGCTGAAGAAGATGATCAGCATGGAGGGGGTGCAAGGGTTAGCAGTAGGATTAGGGGAAGAATTGTTGAATAATCTACTGCTTCCTTGTGAGAACACACAGCAGGGGAAGACGTCGCCAAAAAGGCTCTCTGTTGTGGTACTGTAGCCGCTGCAGAAGGCAGGCGCCGAACGGCTCACCTGCCGTACTGTAGCCACAGCAGGGACAGGCGTAGAAGTCAGTCCTGCTGTGTTATCTAGTCACTGTTACAACATGTCAGCTGTACTGGGTCTAGATGGATAGAGTTGTATAAATAGTTTGCCACTGCAATTCAGTAAAGGGAGTTCAGATTTGTCATCTCCTATACAGGGCTCCGCCCAACGCTGGTGTCTCTATTGTGTGTGTATACTCTGTTCTCCCTCTCTTTTTCTACCTCGGACCATAGTGTGTGATCGGACAACGTCTGTCGTGCTCGGTCGTGGTCGGCAAGACTGATGAGTGATCAACTCACCTAAGCCGGTGATCCTGTGGACTAATAGAACTTATAGAAATGACTCGTACCGGTATGAGGCAAGCTCTCAGTATCTTGTGCAGGGCCAACCTTTTGGATCCACAAGCTCTATGCGCAAACCAGGGAACACAGCGCATGGGGTTTATGCACAACCATCTACGTCTTCAAATGGTGCCGGTGCTTTATCTGGCCCTCGAGGACCACCATTTTTTATGGTGTACTCCTATGAACAAGGCTCAAATCATGGTGCTTCCTCATCTGAACCAATTGAATTTGGATCTCTTGGGCCACTTCCTGCAGCAGATGGTGATGACATACCAAGGTCGACACGCCAAGTAATGCCTAATGGGTTTTATGGGCAAAGACGTGGTCCATATAGGGGTGGTTCCTCTCATTCGTCTCCTGATCAACCATCCTCACCTCAGCATCGTCGGTAATACTTGTTATTATATTCTTTGTTTATCACTGTTTTATTTTCAATGTTTCCGTATGAGCAGTCTGAAAAAATTACATCATGAATATGTAACAAAACTTTATGTTATCTGTAAAAAAACAACTCATCATGCTTTCATCTATATTAGCAGAATAAATGCATTAGAGCAGTTGTCAATAGTAAGTTAACTTCTTTTTTTTTATAAGAATAATAGTAAGTTAGTTGACCTATAGTTAAAATTGACAGACAATGATGGATCGCTGAAAATTCAAATTTGTTAAATTCTCACGCGTTGAAGAATCTGGCACATGAACATGCAGCCATGTGCAAATTAGGTAGGGCAAGCAGGGATTGAAGAGATAGGCTGCTTCATATTTCATGTTGATATATAAAAAAAAGGATAAAATAGTATATTCAAGCCACAGAACAAAAGTTCCAACTCATTTTATTTTCATTCCTCAGTGGGTGTTTCAGAGTTTAATGAGAATAGTCATTCTCTCATGCCTCATGGTTACTTTGTCACGTTGGTGATAATGGCCAGTAATAACCTCATTTGCATACATTATCAATGTGTGCTCATTTTTGGTTGCCTGTGGCCTACATAGTCTAAAGTATGCACAAAACAAAGTGTGTTGAACCGACACCCATAGCTGTTTGCAGTAATTAGTAAATTGGCTCCTGGTATCTAGTTCCAAAGGTATAAATTAGCGCATAACCACATCGAACTAGTACCAGATCAGGGATTATGGTTGCCATCATTTATGCAGCTTGCTTCTGTGAATTGATTTATGTATTTACCTGCAAGTATTTAGCACCATTTGTTGTGCTGAAATCTGTGTTTCTGTTTGCTTTGAAGGTAGTTGAGTCTTCATATGATGGCTTTATCACTTGGTTTCTGGCATTGAAACCTTGCGATAGCAATATTTCGGTCCACCCCTCGTGATCATATCCTGCATGGGTGCAGATGGTTGGGCCATCAGCAGCCACAAAAAAAAAAAAAAACAAGTATATGCCCTAGCTGGCTTCTTGGTGCTTTGTGATCTCAGAAGCACTGAATTGTGAATACCGTCAAAAGAGGCATCAATTACCGACAGGTTATTTTACCAGTCACAATGGAGCTTCCTGGAATCAAAACAACTATCTTCAGCACAAATCATGGAACCGTCAAAACCCAGAATATCTTCACACAGAAATCAGAATTGAACTGAAGATTATGAACAAGGATGAACTGGTTCCGGCCGTCTCATTATATGAATTGTGTCAAGGATAATAACAATATTAGTTTGGATGGAGCAGTAACAAGCATTGCTGCATCGGAAACAATCTGGAATGCTTTGGGTTTTAATGTGTCTGGGCGTGTGTAAGTGAAAGTTAATAATGAAATCCTCGTACCATTCTTAGGTAGGATTAAGCTCATGTAACACAGCAAACTATTCACTTAGATGCACACTGAGTTAAGTGAATCGTAGGAAACAAATTCTCGTGCTGAAGCGAGGGATGACTCCAGAATACTCAAGGCACGAGTAAAAAGCTATCCATGTCAATCTTCCTCGGTCCATTCCATGTGTACTGTGTGTTGGATGTCCGCATGTTTCTCTGCCTGGGCATTGTGATGCATGAATTGTTTTCAGGGCTGTTTCATCTATGATTGTTATTCCCAGAACTGAGTCCGCCATTCAGTCCTGCAGAGCTGCAGTTTTACGTTACAGCAGTACACTTCCAGTTCTTGAAGAACAAGGGGAATTTAGGGATCTTGAGAACTAGTGTAGATGGCAATTTACTGGTGTTATATGCATTTTACAATGGGTACATATGCATTGCAAATTCTGAGCTCCCATTATTTTGGTGAACATTCTCGTACTCCTAGTGGCCTATGGGCTGGTCTAGATCCCCTGGTAATCGGGGTATTTCGCCTGCTGAAACTGAATGATGTGCTCAGCTCGCTATTCTGCTCCGGTTCTCTTCTTGAGCTCCGAAATGAAGTCCTCCCTCTCCTGGTCGGTCATGCCCTCAGTGGAGCAGTCCCCGACGCCCCACTCGGCGCCCCGCAGGCAGTACTTGTCCTGGATCATCCTCTCGTTCCTGCAAAAATCATAGCTTCAGCGTTGAACATGTATCACCAGAGAGATCTTAAGGAGCGTAAGCAAATATGTTTTTACTTCTCTTTGTTCTTCTGGGACTTCTCGAGCAGCTCCTGCAGCACCTTGGACTTCTTGAACCTGTTATCGAATTCGGCGTACTTCTTCTGGTTCTCCGCTTGCGAGCGCAACAGGAAGGCAGGGTTTCCATCAGTCAAGAAGGCCTGAATTGTATAAGTTTGCCGCAAGAACAAGTCCCTGGCCTTCACAAGAACTCAACAGGAAACTGAGGCAAGCAACTAACCATTCCATTTCTCCAGGAACTCGAGCCGGGGGAGGTCGGGGCCTGGAGTCGACTCCAGTCCCGAGAAACCGGACAGGATGCCGGCGTTCACTGCAGTCAAAATGTGCCGGGCATTAGTTTGGAAACACCGGCGAATCTGTGAATGCTTTATGTTCCATCAAGTGCTGCATGCGACACCCAACTCATCCGCAACTCTAGCTACTGTTCACAAGAGCAGTTTCTAGCGTGACTGCTGCTGTGTCGCACCGGTGTCACAAGGAGGGCGAAAGTGGCGGTGAGCAAGACTGCAAGAGTAGCCGTACCTGGACTGGACCAGAGGACGAACGAGAGCGAGACAGCCGCCGGGACAGCCAGCGACACCCGGGTTATCATCGCTGGTGGCGGGGCGGCGCTGCCGCTGCATCGCCCCTTCGGCGGTGCGGCCGCGGCCGGGGGCGCGGGCGCGGCGGGGAGGCCGCGGAGGCCGAGCATGGCTAGCTACTTCGCTTGCTGGTAGCCTGACAGTATGCTAAGGCCCAGCGATGCGAAGGAGGATGGATGGATTGCATGGAGTTGTAGGCGTGTAGCACTAGTGGATTGGTGGGGGCAATGTCGCCGACTCGCCGGTGGGAAAGGATGGGGCTGACTTGTTCTCTTGTGAGCCACTAGCTAAAAGCTAAAACACGATCTGGGGATTACACTCCTTGATCTTTTTTTGCGTGCACTTGTCTTGGTAGTTTGTCTACGCTGCTCAAGTTTATATGTATAGGTCTTACCATATTGTATAGGTGGTGAATCTTAAATCTGAGGATTAGTTATGCTGCGTTTGGGAGTTATCTAGATTCTCGTTCTGGATCCAAGTTTTCTCTCAAAAAAATGTGATGAATCAACATCATTTTATGAAATCGTTTGGCTGATAGACTAGATTTCGATTAAAAACAAAAAAACATATAAATAAAAACATTTTTAATTTTTTTTCAGGATTTGTTGTGGGTGAAGAACAAATAGAACCCATTTTTAATTTGCTGCAATAAAAAAATTAAACTAAAAGGCACCATCACTGTTGTATTGAGGACGTAAGAAATGGGCCATGATCGCTTGTCTCATGAACCGTACTATTTCAGCGAACGAACAGTGTTTTTCTCTCACAACAAATCAGCGAACGGTACTTTTAGCCATGGCTTTTCAGCAAAGCGAGCAGGGCCATAGAATCGGTAGAAACCATCCTTTGATCGTTTCAAGAGTCTAGGTGCCTGTTTAGTTCCCAAAATTTTGTAAATTTTTTCAAAATTCTCCATCACATCGAATCTTTGGACGCATGCATGAAGCATTAAATATAAATAAAAAATAAAACTAATTATACAGTTTAGACGAAATTCACGAGACGAATCTTTTAAGCCTAATTAGAGTATAATTGGACACTAATTGCCAAATAACAACGAATGTGCTACAGTACCATTTTCCAAAAAAATTCGCCAACTAAACAAGGCCTAGGCAAATAACTAAGAAACGGTTATGGTGTTTTTAGCCAGAAATGTTTCATCTCCTCCCCGTTTGACATGGATCGTAAAGATTCTGGCAAGAATCGAAACCGTTCCTACTTGCCAAACGGGGAGTAGAACAAGTCTTTTTAAATTGGCGCTGAGAATTATGTACAGTTGTATGACTAGACTAGGATGCCACCCGTTAGTTCCAGGCAGTGCGGACTCAGGACCGCGGAGTACTCGCTGTATCAAAAAAAAAAGATTTTAGATAAACTTTCTTAAAAAAGAAAAATAAATATATAGTTAAGAAAGAACATCTAGAATATATAAAACTCAATATTAATATAAAATGTAATATCTTTTGAATCTCTTTTTTATTCTTATTGAATCATGGTAGAGTATCCTAATCCAATAAGAATTTCGCGAGCGAATATTTACTCTTTCCTATCTTATTTGATAATTTAGAACCTTATCAAATAAAGTATTTTTTTTGTTCGTTTGTTCTGCCATATTTTAATATGATTAAAGTTTTTTTTAAATCCAACATTTATGTCTCCTATTATGTTTATTATAAAAATATATTTTATAATTAATGTAATTATATTTAGTCGGTGTCCTACATTTTAATTTTATATAGATTTAATTAAACTTAAAATTATTTAATTTATTGGAAAATGGGGATTTTATTTTTGCTTAGACGGAGGGACGGGAGTAGTCTAACAGATTCAGGATTCCACACGTCTCCAGTCTCTCGCCTTCGCCTTCCATTCATCGCAGTCGCCGCCGTCGCCCGTCGGCCGTGTTTTGGGACGCGGCTTCGCATCCCACGCTTTGCCGAGACGGAAGCTCCGCGTGAAAGCCGTTAGCAGTAGTGCCCTCCCACGACGGCCGCCGACGGGCGGGGCAAGAACATATACCCGCCCGACACGGCATCGCACGCACCACCCAAAGCAAAACCCCTTGTTCGCTTGTTTTTCTCTTCTCTAGATCCACCCCCAACCCGAAATGGCCTCCTACGACGGCGACGAGGACTCCGGCCGCCGCCGCCCTTCGCAGCACCGCCCGTCCGGCGGGGGCAGCGGCGACCTTGCCTCGAGCGCGAAGCTCGTGGCGGAGGCGGCCAAGCTGGCGCTCCAGGACCACAGCCTGGAGAAGGTGAACAAGGGCCGCGTCGCCGGCGCGACGGCCGACCTGCTCCACGCCGCCTCCCAGTACGGCAAGCTCGAGGGCAAGCCCGTCGGCGGGTACCTCGAGAAGTCCGAGGAGTACCTCCACCAGTACGGCCGCAAGGATGGGGGTGGCGGTAAGCATCAGGGGGAGGGGGAAGGCAACTACGGTAAGAAGCCCGGCGGTGGCCATGGAGGGGGAAGGTATGAGAACGAAGAGGAGGAGGAGGGGTACAAGAAGAAGCCTAGTGGCGGGAGGTATGAGGAGGATGAGTACAAGAAGCAGCCTGGTGGTGGTAGTGGCTATGGAGGTGGAGGGTATGAGGAAGAAGATGGCTACAAGAAGAATCCAGGCAGTGGTGGCTATGGAGGAGGAAAGTACGAGGATGAAGATGACTACAGGAAGAAGCCAAGCAGTGGTGGCTATGGTGGGGGAAGGTACGAGGATGAAGACGATTACAAGAAGAAGCCCATAAGTGGTGGCTATGGTGGGGGGCGGTATGAGCAAGAAGATGATTACAAGAAAAAGCCTTCAAGTGGAGGCTATGGTGGTGGGAGGTATGAGCAGGAAGATGAATATAAGAGGCCTCCGAGTGGTGGTGGCAGTAGCTATGGGGGAAGCAGGTATGAAGAAGATGATGAGTATAGGAAGAAGCCGAGTGGTGGTGGCTATGGTGGAGGAAGGTATGAGGACGAAGATGATTATAGGAAGAAACCTAGTGCTGGTGGATATGGAGGTGGAGGAAGATATGAAGATGAGTACAGCAAGAAGCCGGTTGGTGGTCATGGCGGAGGGAGGTATGACGAAGATGTTGAGTACAAGAAGCCCAGTGGTGGTGGATATGGTTATGAGGCTTCGAGTGGTGGAGGCCATGGAGGAAGGTACGAAGAAGAAGACTACAAGAAGAAGCCTAGTGGGCACTCAGGGGGACGCTATGAGGAGGAGGGGTACAAGAAGACTAGTGGCCATAGTGGAGGGAAGTATGGCAAGGAGGAAGAGGACAAGAAGAAGAAGAAGCATGGCGAGGATGAGTCAGAGGGTGGCGGTATTGGAGATTACCTGAAGTTGGCACAGGGTTTCATGAACAAACAGGATGGGGAAGGGGGGAGTGGGGGCGGCATGGGAGACTACTTAAAGCTTGCAGAAGGTTTCTTGAAGAAGCGCTGATTAATCTTCCATGTCATGTTTCAGGAAGGACTTGTTGTGTTTGGTTAGTTCCTTGTCCTGTTTATTGTCTCCAAGTAGTGGAATTTTCAAGGTTTCCATCATAGGATGTAATACAAGTGCATTGCTCATGTTGTCTGTGTGTTGTGACATGAATGCTTAATGTGCTGCTTACGCTGCTGGGGTAATAAAAGCTTGGATGCTCTGCTATTCATGTTGTATATTAGTTCTGACTAAAATAATATGTATCCTATATTATTATGCTTACAATAAAGTGAAACTCTTGAAATACGTTTTCATTCATTATGTATTGTTGTTATGGTCCTACCGTTTGAAAATTATGTGATGTGTTGGTTCTTGATCTTATCATACTGAGTACTAATGCATGGATGTGCATCTTTTCCTGAACTTGATTTTAGTTTTGCTAAACCTGAGACAGAGAAACTAACCAACCATGTTTATTTCAACTTTGTTGGTGGTTGTTCTAGGCGTATCCTTGCAAAATAGCCTCTGAATGGATAGTTTGAACTTATTATGGTGCTTGGCTACTAACCATCGAGGCATCTTGCCTAAACTAACTTCTCCTTTGTTGGGCCAGTTCTTATCTCTAAGTAGTTGATGTCTCTTCTCACTTGGCCCTTGTGCAGTGCTTGCCAGTTTATGTCACATGATGATAGTTTTTCGTATCTGTGTACTGTTAATTGGTGAAGAATTTGACACAAATAATTTAGTATCTAAATCAAACTAATGTCTTGGAAGTAAACAAATATAGAGGAGAGGCTAAGAGGATTGTTGAATTTGAACCACAGGCGGTTTTATGTCATCGGTTTCAAGCAGTGTCAGAATTATTAGTATTTCGCCTTTCCTGATTCCATAGTTGAAAAGACACAAGTGCACAGCTCAATGGAATATTTCTGCAAGGGCACCCTTTTCAGCCGCTTGTTTATTCAATCAAGCAGTTTTTTGCTCCTCTTTGTATGACCTCTCAGGCTCTCAATACCTTGATTCCAATAAAAAAAGGGCAGGCCCAGTGCCGGATGCTCCCACATGAGTGCAATGCATTTTACAATGGGTACATATGCATTGCAAATTCTGAGCTCCCATTATTTTGGTGAACATTCTCGTACTCCTAGTGGCCTATGGGCTGATCTAGATCCCCTGGTAATCAGGGTATTTCGCCTGCTGAAACTGAATGATGTGCTCAGCTCGCTATTCTGCTCCGGTTCTCTTCTTGAGCTCCGAAATGAAGTCCTCCCTCGAAGCACAAGAGTGAGAATTTCAAAGCGGTTGCTAGAAAAATGGGATAACCAAATTGGACCCGAACTTACTTAGAATTGACGCTTCGTAGACTTCCTTCTTCCTTCCAATAGCGGGTCTCAGCCAGGGAACTTGCTCAATCTTCTGTTTTCATAATATAGCTTCACCGAACTTCCATACACCGATTGATTGTACGCTTGCTGTTCTCAACTGGGCCTCTGAATCTCCTCTGGTTTCACCTTTGCGAGTCGAAGTAATTTCCGGAAAGACACAGAGGAGCTATCATGCGTGGACCAGCAGTTCTTGGTCGGTCATGCCCTCCGTGGAGCAGTCCCCGACGCCCCACTCGGCGCCCCGTAGGCAGTACTTGTCCTGGATCATCCTCTCGTTCCTGCAAAAATCATAGCTTCAGCGTTGAACATGTATCACCAGAGAGATCTTAAGGAGCGTAAGCAAATATGTTTTTACTTCTCTTTGTTCTTCTGGGACTTCTCGAGCAGCTCCTGCAGCACCTTGGACTTCTTGAACCTGTTATCGAATTCGGCGTACTTCTTCTGGTTCTCCGCTTGCGAGCGCAACAGGAAGGCAGGGTTTCCATCAGTCAAGAAGGCCTGAATTGTATAAGTTTGCCGCAAGAACAAGTCCCTGGCCTTCACAAGAACTCAACAGGAAACTGAGGCAAGCAACTAACCATTCCATTTCTCCAGGAACTTGAGCCGGGGGAGGTCGGGGCCTGGAGTCAACTCCAGTCCCGAGAAACCGGACAGGATGCCGGCGTTCACTGCAGTCAAAATGTGCTGGGCATTAGTTTGGAAACACCGGCGAATCTGTGAATGCTTTATGTTCCATCAAGTGCTGCATGCGACACCCAACTCATCCGCAACTCTAGCTACTGTTCACAAGAGCAGTTTCTAGCGTGACTGCTGCTGTGTCGCACCGGTGTCACTAGGAGGGCGAAAGTGGCGGTGAGCAAGACTGCAAGAGTAGCCGTACCTGGACTGGACCAGAGGACGAACGAGACCGAGACAGCCGCCGGGACAGCCAGCGACACCCCTAAATCAACGCTGCTGTGTCTGCTCCAGTCCATTGACGCCACCCCTGAATGTGCAATGTTCAACATTGACCTGTTGCAGTGCTGTGTCTGCTCCTATCCCTCATGTCCAATGTTTTAGTACGACCTTGCAATTTTTTTTGTCGTTTATTTCATAGCACATCAAGCTTAACCTATTTTGTTGTTGTTTAGTCCATAATCGTGTCTGAATTGAGTCCAGCAAGACACCCATCCCCAGACCCCGCACAGAGCGAGAGCTCTCTGCACTGGGTACGCCCTTAATTATGATCTGTACATTCTTGGCTCAGTTCCAGTGATGTGATGGAAGCTAATAGATTCTTGTTGGTATGGTAGGTTTGTAAGGAATTACAGAATGTGTATTTATTTCTCCATTTTATTTTGATTTGTGCCATGAAGTATTTGACTATGCAATAGGTCTGACAAAAGAGAGCTAAAATTATTATCTGTCTAAACTACTTACTGCAATTAGTGCATTATCATTTAGTTCTGAAGGAGTATGTCTGGTTTCGTGATCCAAGGATTGCACTGTCATAATCTGGGACACAACATGGAATGCTGTTAGGAAATTGGAAACAAAATTGGTCAGAACTTCACAGTAGATTACAGCTCACGTTACGTGTGATTTACATTCACATAGTTTTATTCTTCTTATTTGTCAATATAGGCGCTGTAACAAACCTATTAGTAATTCCAAAACTAGAGAGTTCAAAGGTCGATAGAAAAAATCTTGCTCTGGAGATCCCTACACTTGAGAAAATGTCCAGACCATTTAATGAAACACAAACAGTTTTACAGCCCTCTGTTTTAGCAGCTTGTTGTATTGTGTGCCTACAAGCTGTACAGACACAGGCACTACTATGTACAAAATTCCAGTACATATTTTATTTGCCATCTGGTTTTGTTTTGCTCGTAGCAATGCACAATCACGGACCTATGAGTAATCATATATTTCAAGTAACCATATGATCTCTTGTATTAGTGTAGTAGTTTGATAATTCAATATCATACTTTGATCTTGTTCCCACGTGTATTCATAGTCCAAGTTGATAGTTCAATATGATATTGTGATCTCGATCTTTTTCCATGTGTATTCATAATCCAAGTCAGCCGGCACATCTCCTGCTTGAGATCACTATAGAGATTAGCTGGGGGGGAAATATTTCTGATGGTAGCAGAGCGAGGCATTTCAGGAGGCCTGTCATCATTGTCAACTTGAAGCTGGCGGTGATCATGACAATACAGGTGGTGGAGTACATGGAAGAGATGATGTTGGCACTGCTGCAGAGTAGCTTTGTGCTAATCATGACTGTAGCTTTCTGACAACACAAGCCCGGAGATCAACCTTGCAAATATGGTTCCTCTCCATGCACTAACCAATTCTTTGGTTTTTGTATATCTTCTGAGCTGAGGCGTTGTCTTATTTGAGGATAATTTAGAACAATGTCATCAGTTTTCTTATTTGAGGTTCACTCAATTTTTTATTCGATGCATCTGAATTACTATAATTTGTGTTGGAGGAGCCAGAGGCAGATGTATCTGACCTGTTGATGCCGCTAGGATTAACTACGGTTCTGATAAATTAGCAGTTGTACTGCAGATTTTTACTCTCACCTTATTGGACAAAGCATGGAGTGACTGCATAACGGAATGTCACGAATATTGCACTTGAAGTGTCATTTCTTTTTTTGTAATAGTACAACACATTTGAATTAGAATTATCATGATATAATATTTTCCTGTTGCAACGCACGGGCACGATCCTAGTAAATTATTATTATTAATTACTCTCTTCTAGATGAACCGTATTTAGCTGTCGGATCCCTAGCAAACACAGGATTCATTAACGAGTGTTTTTAAGCTGGGGCCTGTTAGGAACGCACCATTTCGCAGAAATCGCGCCGAAGTTCACAGGAATCAAAACCTAAACATTGTTCAAGAAAGATTTCACAGAAAAATGCATGATCAGAAAAAAAAACGTATTCCAAACAGACCCTGATGCAATATATAGCGCAAATGATTTTTTTTCATACAAAGTTAAGCATGGACAAAAAAAACTTGTAACTCAGTTGATGGCATAGCTTCGTTCTAAACATGGTTTTAATAAGGCAGATTTGGCCGTGGGACACTTGAAAAACATGTAATTGGCTGCGACACGCCGCTAACTACGATATTGGCTGCGGCACACTCGAAAATCATTTTCGTTTGCTGTAACACACCGTCCCCATTAAAATATAATTTTCGTTGGGTATGAGAGGAAGAAGATAGGGGAAATGATGTGTTTGCCCTCTTCTTCTTGCTATAGTTGCTCGAAAAACTTACACTAAGCTATTGCTGATTTTGGCACTATGGCAGCTACTGCTGCGCTATCATGTTTTAGTGCCGCTAAATTGCTTAGTTGTAGCGTTGAAATAACGGCGCTACTTTGGTTTGAGCTAACAGGAATCAATGAGACGGCGTTAATGAAAACCCACTAAGGGGCTAAGTCCACTAAGGCCCGAAACAAATTGTATCAGATATATGGGACCGGGATACATCACCGCCTGTATTCCGGCCCAAGCCTGACAAATGGGCCAAAGACAATAAGGAATGAGGCTCATGTACACCGGGCGTATCAGTAAACGTGGAGATCAAGTTGTTAAGCATAGATAGCCTACATTTTGATATCCGCAAGATATGGTCGAATGATATGTTATACTTTCCAAGTAACAAACTAGGAAACACATTCGTCCTTACCCCCAGGCTATATAAGGAGGGGTAGGGACCCCCCATCAGTCCTTTACATTCTAGTGCATAGCTACAATCAGCAACCCTGTAACCAAGCATACGAATACACAGAGATCCACTTCAAACTAGATATAGGGTACCATGTACCTGAACCGGTATAATCCCTGTGTCTTGCATGCTACCCGTCTGATTTCCAGTACCCAAATACTCTGATTCGTATTGCCGGAGTAAATACTTCCGATAGTTGGCACTCTAGATAGGGAACTTTTACGCACAGGTTCGTTATGTTTTAGATGTGCCTCGTCACCAGGATCGACGACGATGTCGACCGGATGCAACAAGGTGACAAGATCGCTTCCGATGGCCTGGGCTTCGTCGCCGACTGGTTCGGGAACTTGCGCCTGCAAGACCTCGAACCACCCGCACAAACATGAGGAGTAGTCGCCCACCATCTGCACATTCCTTGCCGAGCTCGAAGGTGCCGTGGAGGCGGGGCCAATCGCCTTGGCCCACCACATGAACCTCTATGCTAAGGAAGCTTTCTCCAAGTTCAGTCAAGAGTACCTACTTGACACGGGCTTCGAGATCTAGAAAGATCTACGCTGGACCCGTGACACGGATCCACTGTCACTACCCGACTACGTCCTACCTAGGTTCCCAACCATGCTCAGGAACATAGCGTCGACTCACGCCTTTTGGCTTCGCCAAGCCATCGAGACCCCCATAGGGCTGGGCCCTCTCATCTGAGGAGGAAGGGCCACAAGCGCAAAGGGCGGGTTCATCGGCAATAAGAAGAAGCAGAGCAACAAGAAAAAGATCAACAAGATCATGAACGGTCCGTGCTAGAACCATGGCTTTCGGGTGACCCACCACACCAAAGATTGGATAGCATACAGGAGGTGGCTCGCAGAGAAAGAAAAGAAGAAGGCAATGAACAATAACAAGTGGCGCAAGGAGGACGACCCGATCGGGAAGGGTGTAGGGTCAAGATGGCGAACTAGAGGGGGGTGAATAGTCCTTTCTAAAATTAATCGCACCGGCTAACCGAAATAAATGTAGAATTAAAACTAACGGTCTAGCCAAGACTACACCCCTCTATCTAAGTTCTCTAGCACCTTACAAAGATACTAATTAAGCAACTAAGGTGCCGATCTACCTAGAGCTCACCTAACCAATTCTAGAAGCAAGATCACACTAACATATGCAACTAGTATCATAATATATGTTAGTGGATGATTTTTAGCATTCTGACGTGGACAACTAAATATATGTTAGTAAATGATGTGGTTTGCTAATGTGAATAGCCTGAATGAACACATAATGGCATATGTTAGTTGGATGTGTTAGTGGTTGTTGATGTGGACACTTTACATGACGAGATAGTTGAATGTGCTAGTTGAATGTTCTAGTGGATACTGACGTGGACACTTTGCATGGCAAGATAAATTGCTAGTGGGATTTATCTTTATAACAGATATAGGTTAGCATCAGAGTCTAGGTTTCCTTCTTAAACACTAAAACAAAACAATTTAGGCTATATCTACAAGCCTATAGAAAAATATATTTAAGGTTCTAAAAATTTTGATGAAAATCCTAACGATAATTTGGGACATGAGAAGCCCCAACAAATTATTTTAGATCACGCGAAAATATATCTAAAATGGTAATGACACAATCAGGGCGTCAGTCCGGACGACTCGCCCCGCCCATCGTACGCCACGGCCGTCTCCATCCGCTTTTGCAGCCACGAATTCGCCCGGACTCGTTCCGTAGGGTCGCCTCCACCTCGCCACGGATTCGTCTAGACTCGGGCCGCCGATCGTGGGGGCCTCCATCCGCTACCGTGACTGCCTCCACCGCCAGTTCACCGTGTCGCCCACCCTGGACTCGTCTTGCCTGCCGTGGCCACCTCCACTGCGCCAGTTTGCCGCGCCGCCCACCCATGTTGCGCTGAAAGCATATGTTGCAAACGTATGTTTCAAGTATTTCAGATGTTTTAAAGGTATGTTGCAAGTGTTTCATATTTATATTACAAAAGTGTGGCAGAACCGCCTAATCTAATGCGTCCCAGGAATACTTGTCTTCCATTAGACACTAAGTACTCAAGAGAGGACACTAAACTATGCAGTTCCATAGAGCACACCCCAAGGGAGAACTCAAAAATCCACATTTTTCTATCAGGATCACAAATGAGAGAATAAAGCTTACAACATTCTTAAGCCATTTCTTACATCACTTTATTTTATTACAGCATATTACCTCAATTAATTATAACAGTGAAATATAACAAT